AACCGTCTAGGTGATGGTGATCACCAAAAGTAACAAGCAAGAACTCTCACTTGACCACAACAAGCCTAATGAGAAGGGTGGATGCACAGTTGCTACTCTCTTTTCACTAATGAGGCCTTGATCTTGGATTCTCAAACCTCAATCACCTCACTAGGCTCTTGCTCTCCTTGACACTCTCAAGGGTGTTTCTTAGCTGTTGAAATGGGCAAGAGTACCCCCTTGAATGAATAGAGGAAGTATTTATAACCCCTCATTTAAAACGAACTGTTATGTGCCTCTGCGAGGTGACCGGACGCTCTGGTCAGTTCTCCCCGCCACTGAGCCGTTAAGTTGTGACCGGACTCTGACCTGCGTCCGATCAACACTGACCGGACGCGTCTGGTCACAAAACTACTCTCTGGAACCTTACTGATGTTGATCGGACTCTGGCACCCAGCGCCTGGTCATTTTGCTGCTCAGCGTCCGGTCAGTAGCCGGTACCTGACCAGCATCCGGTCATCACTAACCGGACACGTCCGATCAGGATTCTCCCTCTCTGGAACCTTTCTGGAGTTGACCGGACTCTGGCGCCCAGCGTTCGGTCACATTTCACTCAGCGTCTGGTCGCATCTAGACTACTTCACCTTGATCAAATGAACTGACCGGACTCTATGCCAGCGTTCGGTCACACCGAAACCAGCGTCCGGTCAATATTTGACCCTCCATTCCCTTTCAACTCACAATCATATGTGAATGAAGTTCGCTCCAATTGATCTTAGGGCTACTTAGGAGCTACCTAGTGCTAGATTTGACAAGTGTGCACCACACCTAACCCACTAGACTCACCTAGGTCAAGCTACTTGTTCATACCCCCCTTAATAGTATGGCCAAAGGAAAAACAAAGTCATAAACTACTCTAAGTGTCTCTTCAACACCAAACAACACTTAGAACTAGTCCATCCTTAACCTTGTCGTCCATCCTTTGAAAACCAAAACAATTTCTATCGTAGGGGCATGACAACCATGATTGCCCAATCAATTGTCATTACCATGACCTAACTTAATTGTCATTAATCACCAAAACCCAACTAGGGGCCTAGATGCTTTCACTGGTCATGCTTCCAGATTTCTGGTCATGCTTCTTTGCTTCTTCCTTTAGGACCTGGCGGACGCAGGAATCCATGGAGCTTGCCGAATCGCCGTCGCTCGTCCCTGCCTCGACACGCAGCGCTGCAACGGTGTTGCTTGGAGGCTGGCACGGCGGCACCGGCGGATCTGTGGCAAGCCGACAGCCCCCACGCTTGCTGTACTGGTGTGCTCGCTACTCACGCTCGGTGTGGCCTGTGGCGGGCGATGCCGGGACGTGCGGTCGGACGCCACCGGAGCCCCACGGCAGGGCACCGCTGCCGCCCGACACGCGCACGCCGAGACCTGCGGGTGGGCGCCGCGACCTCCCCGTGGCCGCCTGGAGGAAGCCCGCGCCCTGCCGATGCAGCCGCCGCAGCCAGGAGGCAGCCGCGCCCTGCGCCCTGGAGGCAGCCCCACCCCGCTGGTTCTTCTGCCGCTGCCACGTACGAGACTTGGGATGAGGTGACCCGTTCTTCTGTTTGGGATGAGGCGATAAGGATAGAGGGCAGTGTGGTCATTTTGCCTTTGCTTTTCAGATTTATAATTTTTTTAATTCGTTTAATCCATGTCCATCTGACGGACGTCTAAAGCCGGGGCAAATGGACCATTCATTTCAAAATAGCAGGGGTAAAAACACAAAGTTGAAAAAGTAGGAGCAAAATCACAATTGGACTACTGGACAAGGACAAGAACATAATTTTCCCTTAAAAGGAAAACTTTGTAATTTCAAACTTTACATTTTAAATTCAGAAACTCTATACTAGCATATTTAAAACTTTCTACTTTAAGATTTAAAACTTAGTAATTTCAAACTTTATTTTAAAATTTAGGAACTTTATACTAGCACATTTAAAACTTTGTATTTCAAACTTTAAAACTCGTAATTTCCAACTTTACACTTTAAATTCAGGAACTTTATACTAGCACATTTAAAACTTTTTACTTTAAGATTTAAAACTTTGTAATTTCAAATTTTATTTTTAAAATTCAGGAACTTTATACTAGCACATTCAAAACATTGTATTCAAGCTTTAAAAACTTTGTATTTCAAACTTTACATTTTAAATTCACTAACTTTATACTAGCACATTTATATCTTTATACTTTAAGATCTAAAACTTTGTAATTTCAAACTATTTTTAAAATTTAGGAACTTTATACTAGCACATTTAAAACTAAAACTTTGTAATTTCAAACTTGACATTTTAAATTCAAGAACTTTATACTAGCGCATTTAAAATTTTGTACTTTAAAATTTGAAACTTTGTAATTTCATACTTTATTCTTAAAATTCAAGAACCGTAGACTATCACATTTAAAATTTTGAAGCATTCAAACTTTGTAATTTCAAACTTTACATTTGTATAAAGAATTAGAAAAATGAAGATCACCTCAACAGTTGTATGCTGCAACCTGCTTCATGTTGCATATGGATCAATTACTTCTAACCCTCGAAGACATTTACGTTCAACCTAGACTGGTGGCTGTAATCTGCTACCTATTGTATAAGAGCATCAGTTTGGAGCAATGGCAGGTAGAAAGAGGTTGAAATGAAAGCCATGAATATACTTGATAAGCAGAGGTTTCTTAACTTCAGCCAATGATTTTAATGCATTACAAAAGATCAAATTATTGACTCTAGATCATCCATCCTCACATGTGGCTCATGTGCTGTGTTGACCATGAAAAATAGTGTCATTTCAATGCTATTTTTATAATCCCAACTTTTAACAAAATAGCTAGCCGTTGAATCCTGAAAAATTGGCAAGGCAAAATTATATAACAGATGGGAGCAATACCATCATGACATACCTATTCTAACATGATTTCCATACCAAAAATAAGGACTTGAGTATGACAACAGGTTGTGCCTCTACCTCATTACAGTTACCTGAAAAAACACATCAGCACATACAAATATAGTGAACAGAGGAATCCTATCTTATAAGAGTGGACAAAAAAGAGGCAACATAAATATAGTGGCACCACATGGGCATTTACAGATAGCCCACACCCTGGCATTTAAAAGAGGCAACGTAAAACGCCCTCACGATCCCCACGCCAGTTCTTCCCCTCCCGTCTCTCCATTTTAAATGCCAGGGTGTGTGCAATATCCTCGAGAATAACAATGTGGCATTGACATTTAGCCCTTGTTTTTTTTAGAATCAACACAAAGCGAAAGAAGTTGCAATAATCTGAAGATAGCATGAACATAAGTCAAGAGAAGCCGAGGCCAATAAGCTAGACAACGGTCTAAACTAGTACATTGGCCATGCTAACGCTACAACAACATTTAGGACAACACAAATTAAACAACCAAAATGGTGTATATGCTTTGGTGATTTTGAAAAATCGTCGATCACATATTATAATATTAGAATAAAAAAACATGAGTCTGATGACAACATGATATACCAAATAAAGATTACTTGCATGACAACAATGATATCCAACAGTTTACCATCATCAATCTTTATGCAAGAGATCCAGCAGTTTACAATATTATAAATAAAAAAACATATCACAATTATTTGGCCTAAACCTGTACTGGTCAGTTCTGCAGTTTGCAGACCAGATTTGGCCTCCTAGCTAGTCTGTTCTGCATGCTGCTACTACTGGAATATTACTTGTACTACTTAAGTGACAATTATTTGGCCCTAAACCTGTACTGTGCAAAACATGAACCGAAAACACCACTAGGAGAATGATTATTAACCAAATGCACCCAACACAATTTTATAAATTAAAATACAAATCATAACTAGGAATTAGTAACTTCAACTTCCTAATAACAGTAGCAATTCATATCAAATCATGCAATTCATTCTACTCATACCGGCCCAAATTCAGTAGCTGCTGTAAATTCGAACTACTAAATTGAACTATGGTTGTAGGGATTCCACAAGCAACAAAGGAAAATAAATATACAAAAATAGAAAAAAGAGAGGCAAAATCACAAGAACTACGCCACCTGGTTGAGCCACCTCCAGACTGATGAGCCCATAATCAATTTTACAGCAACACAGGAGAGGACACCGCCTCCGGACTGATGAGTCCAAAATCAATTTCACAACAGTATAATTGAGTTATAATTATCCAAATGTAATCAGACATGCCGTATGTTATGCTCAAATTCTATTAAGAAGTCGTTCACACAGGCCATCCTACCCAGATGGGCCGGCTATGGCTCATCTCTATTGTAGTGTTGTGTGTCTTTTCCCATACGCAGACAAGCACAACTTTGGTTTGGGCATTAGTGAGATGAAGGGACCATAGTTAATTACTACTAGAACTAGACGGGGCTTGGTCAAGAGCTAGCTCGGTTCGTGCTTTGCTTGGTCTTCACCCATAGTTGATATTGTTTTTACTTCCTGGCGTGGCATCGCTTGGCCAAGTTGCCCACCTGCCACCACCGGACTGTGTGGTCCCGCACTCATCACACGGCTTTGCGGATAGAGGTGGACCGGCCGAAATAGAAAAACCGAGGGACAGTTGGTCAAGGGAAGTGGTTACGGAGGAAAGTGGAAGGAAACTTCCGTGTAGTGCGCTCACGCGCAGAAATAGAATCCCATTATTGCGCCCACCATCTGCGAGAAATAGAATCCCATTATGGCGCATCTGAGAAAGAGAATGGCAAAGGAAAAGTGGTTATCGTGTCTTTCGGAATAAAGTGAAGCAAACTACGTGGATGACAAACAGGAATAAAGTGGTGGTGATAATGGCCATCCCTCGCGCACTCCCGCAGAAAGGGAATCTCATTATTTGCGCCACCATCTACGACTGTGAGCAAATAATTAAGCTAGGAATCGATGCGCCATTCCTCCCTCACAGCACCACGCATAATAAACATTTCACTGAGAGCGAGTGATTTGCAAGTCCAGATGGCGGAAGTGATGGCGAGCGCTGCCGCCACGAGCGTGATGGGCTCCGTCATCGGCAAGCTGGCCGCCATGCTCACCGAGAAGTACAAGCTCGCCAAAGACGTCGAGCGCGGGATCCGCTTCCTGCAAGAGGAGCTGAGGAGCATGGATGCTGTTCTGCAGATGCTCGCCGAGAAGGACGACGACCAGATCGATCCACGCGCCAAGGACTGGAGGAGCAAGGTACGTGAGCTGTCCTACGACATTGAGGATTGCATCGACCGTTTCATGCTCAACCACAGCCAGGGAGGTTCCAAGGCCAACTTTGTGCGCAAGGCCATGTGAAAGGTGAAGACCACTGTTTAAGGACGGAGGAATAGCAGAGGAGATCCGAGAACTCAAGAACCTCGTCAGCGAGCAGAGCGAGCGGGGGAAACGCTACTATGACATCAATCAGTGTCTCACCGCCTCAGCACAGCCGGTGCTCTTGGATCCTCGAGCACCTGCACTCTTTCAGGAGGCCAGCGATCTTGTGGGAATTGATGCTCCTCGTGAGGAGATCATCAGGTTATTGAAATGTGAAGAGAAGCAGCACAAAGTGGTGTCCATCTATGGGATCGGTGGACAGGGGAAGACCACCCTCGCCATGGAGGTGTACCACAAAATTACTGAAGCATTTGATTGCCGGGCTTTCGTGTCTGTATCACAAACTCCAGACATGAAGAGGCTTCTGAGAGATATATTGTCTCAAATAAGCAAGAGCGATTTTGACCAGTCACAGATGTTAGAGACAGTTGAGCAGCTCATCCGCACAGTGAAAGAATGCTTAAAGGACAAGAGGTAATCAATATTATTTCTTTTTCTAATAGTTAACCAGAATAATGTCGTGCAATATTTGTTCATCACATGAGCTCACCTATTTATTAGGCTATTTATGAAATTTTCTGGGAATTTTAAAAAGTGATTCATTTTTTCCTGGCCTAATGAACTTGACAGCATTAAACTACCTCAGATACTTCAATGGCTCAGCATATCTATCAAATGTCATCATTAAAGATGTTACAACAATGAACAAACTCAAGTCAACTGTGCATCATTTTGGTAAAATTTTTACTTTACACCATCTAATCCATATTCAGTAAAATTACTTCTTGGAAAATATGACCAGAATTCTAAATATCCATAAAAATCTCATTTTGGAACTCAGTTTTTGAACTGAATGTGTCATGTCTTTGGAGTGGGTCTCTAGGTGTTCTAATGCGGCACCAACTATTTTGGAAGTTGTAACATATTTATTAAATATTAGGAGTTTACGGTCTGTATTCCTCATGTGTAATACAGACATACAGTAATACTTACCGATAGAAAAGTGTGCCACGACGATCCATCTTCTTGTTACATTTCTCCGATTTTCTTTAATTTCACCAGAATATGCTCAAATTCATGGTGGCCTTACATAATAACATGATTCCGTAACTAATGCATGCAGGTACTTCATCTTGATTGATGATATCTGGAGTGAATCAGCATGGGACCTTGTATGATCTGCCTTACCTGTCAATGACAATGGAAGCAGAATTATTACTACAACACGCAAGAAAGCTGTAGCCAACAAATGCTGTACTGGTATTGCCGCACAAATGTATGAAGCCAAGCCACTTAGTGATGAGGACTCTCAGAGATTATTCTTTACGAGGCTATTTTTCTCCGGTGATGATTGTCACCCAGATTTGAGAAAAGTATCCGATGATATTTTGAAGAAATGTTGCGGCTTACCATTAGCCATAATCAGTATAGCTGGTTTATTAGCAAACAGAAGCAAAACAGTGGAGGTCTGGAGCAATGTATTGACGTCCATTTCTGCTGCAGTTGAGAAAGATTCTCCCATTGATAAGATGAAAAGAATTCTGTTGCTGAGTTACTTTGACCTTCCTCACCATCTAAAGAGCTGTTTGCTATATCTCAGTGTGTTTCCAGAGGATTATTCCATTGATTGCCGCCAGTTGATATTGCTGTGGGTGGCCGAAGGACTGATTCCTGGACAGGACAGAGAAAGTATGGAGCAACTAGGGAGAAGTTACTTGAATGAACTGATCAATAGAAGCTTGGTCCAGCCAACCAAGGTTGGGGCAGATGGCACAACCGTGAAACAGTGCAGAGTTCATGATGTCATACTTGAGTTCATTGTGTCAAAGGCTGTAGAGGACAAACTTTGTTACCATATGGAGTGGTAATGGTTTTTCTAAAAATTATTCTTCGAACAAGATTCGCCGTTTATCCATCCAGAAAGACATTTCTGCCCGGGCGGAAGAGATTGCCAAGACAATAAAAAATGCAGCTCATATTCGATCAATTAATATCTTTGGTTATAATTTAGAGATGGTGCATAAGCATGCCTCTGAGTTCTTAAACAGCCAAGTCTTGCGAGTGCTGAATATAGAAAGTCCGGTTGATGGATGCAATCTTGGACATGTCAAAAGTTTTGGTCAATTGAAGTACTTGAGGGCAGAAGATCAATTTGTCGGAGTCCCCAAGCTTCCAGAAGGTATAGAAAAGCTGCAACATCTAGAGACACTAGATTTGAGAGGGGCCGGTCTTAAAAACCTACCAGCAAGTATTATGCTGTTGCAGAAGCTAGTGCGTCTTTTTGTTGGTGACTCAGTGCACCTGCCTGATGAAATCAGAAATCTGCAGGCGTTGGAAGAGCTATCAATGATCAATTTGGGTATTCAATCTGTAGAGTTTATCCAAGGACTCGATGATTTGACCTATCTAAAAGTACTTGAAATTGATTGGCCATGCTCTACTGAATTACGTGATATGAAGGATCACAAGGGAACTTGTATCTCAACGCTCTCTAGGTTGTTCAGGCGCCTGCGAGAACTACACGTGTGGGGGAGTGATCCTGATGCCACATGTTCATTCATGTCTTCGTGTGTCCCTACTCCACCACTGCTTCAAATGCTTCATCTTGGTACACAAAACTTAAATAGGGTGGGCCCTCAAATTAGCTGACTAGTCAACCTGTCTCGCCTCAACATTGGTGTTTATGGTGAAGCAGGCAAGGAAGGAATAAATATGCTAGCAAGTTTACCCATGCTGCTCTCTCTTACTGTTAACTTATCCAATGACGAAGATGGAGATTCAAGCATCCTCTACGCAGCAGCAGTCCATCCCAACCGTCCGAAACTCGAGATACAAAGATTTAATTGAAGTCTTATGGCTCACGGGTGGAGCAGGCGCCCATCCGACCATTGCGCAGTACAAACCCGATGACAACCATTGTGAATACATGACGTGGAGGATAAGTTTATATCACTATAAATTATCATTTGTTTGCCGTTTTCTTGTATGGAGCACGTAGGAATTGAACAAGGCAAATTCTATTTTCTTTTCTCTTGGGTTGCACTGATCAATGAGCAGATCTCGGATGGCAGGCAGCGCAGCTTCATAATGCTTATAGTTGGTGAATACATGACTCTCAGTCTGTCAGGGATCATAAACTGGACGTTCGATTGGTACCTTAGTGGCCTTAGCCATGAAGCAAGTCGATGGAGTGTCAAAGAGAGAAGGCTTCTCATTAATGGCAATGCTTGCTAAAGCCTTCTTTTTGGTGGTCTTGTCATCATCACTATCAGCATCGTCACTTGAGGAAGCATCACTATCCCAAGTGACCAGATATGAACCACCCTTCTTCTTCTTGATGGTCATCTTGTCCTTCTTGTCCTTCTTCTCCTTCCTGTCCTTCTTCTTGCCCTTCTTGTCATCATCATCATTGTTACTATTGTAGGGGCATTGAGCAACAAGATGATCCTTGCTACCATACTTGAAGCACCTTCTTGCTTCATCCTTGCTCTTGGATGATGACTTCTTTCTTCTTGCACGATAGCCCATCTTCACCATGAATTTGCCAAACCTCTTCACAAAAGAGCCATCTTCTCATCATCTATTTCATCAAAGCTTGAATCATCATCTTCACTTAATGTATCTTGCTTGGCCTTGCCCTTTGATGATGATGTGGCTTTGATTGCCACACTCTTTTTCTTCTCATCCTTCTTCTCATCTTTCTTCTCCTTCTTTTCTTCCTTCTCATCATCATCTCTATATGTGTCATCGGTCATCACATCTCTTAACACTTGGTTTGGTGTCATTGTGTCTAAACTACTCCTCACTAGCAAAGTGACCAACATGCCAAATCTCGATGGTAAGCATCTCAAGAACTTATGAGAGAAGTCCTTGTCCTTCACTTCTTCACCAAGTGCTTTGAGATCATCGACTAGCACTTGTAGCCTATGAAACATCTCCGGCACACTCTCATCATACTTCATCTTGAAGCTTGCAAATTTCTCCTTGAGAATGTATGCCTTGGCACCCTTCACCGCTTGTGTGCCCTCAAATGATTCCTCTAACTTCTTCCAAGCCTCATGAGCCATCTCAATGTTCTTGATTTGCTCAAATGTTCTCTCATCAATAGCATCATGAATGGCACTTAGAGCATTATCATTGTTTTGGAGAAGCACTTCTTCGGCTGCGGTGGGATTCTCTAGATTGTCAATCTCAATCTTGATCTCCACCACCTTCCACACCTTTCTATTGATTGACTTAATATATGTGGTCATCTTTGACTTCCAATATGGATAATTTGTGCCATCAAATTGGGGCGGCTTATTGGCGTTGTTGATTTGAGCTATTTTGACACTGAAGGTTGTTAAGCCTTAAATCACGGTGACCACTGCTCTGATACCACTTGAAAGGTCCTAATGACTAGAGGAGGGGTGAATAGCCTATTAAAAATTTCTACAACAACACTAAGATAAGTGATTAGTAAATAAGATGGCGAAGCGAATTTTGCACTAGCACTACACTTGTGTTGCAAGCCACCTACCCAATTCTAATCTCTATAATCTCTAGTATGTCACACAAGGGCTATGTCACTAATTTACACATAGGTGATCAAGCTAGCTAGAGAACTACAACTAAAGAGCTACACTAGCTACAACTACCACAAGCACTACACAAGGTAAATACACAAAGTAATGCAAGAGAGTGGTAGAAGTGATATACCGTCGTGGCAAGTGATCAATCAATGAATACCAAGGAGAAAATGATGACACAATCAATTTTTCCTCCTAGGTTCACTTGCATGCTGGCAAGCTAGTCCCCGTTGTGGCGATTCACTCACTTGGAGGTTCACGCACTAATAGTCATCACACGCCTAACCGGTAACCGGGTGCCGCACAACCAATACAAGATGAGGATCCACAAGCCACGCGCAATCCACTAGAGTTCCCTTTGGTGCTCCGTCGGGGAAGGCACAAGAACCCCTCACAATCACAATGATCGGAGCCAGAGAAAATCACCTTCCTTCGCTCGACGATCCACCAATCACCGGGCCATCTAGGTGTCGGCAAACACCAAGAGTACAAATCGCCCAACTAGTGCCACAAGATGTAGAACACTAAGAAATGCACTAGAGGCTCTCCAATCTCACTCAAGATGATGAAATCAAGTGTACAAGTGAGTGGAGTGGTGTGCTCAGCTCTCAAAGGGTGTATGCAGCTGTTAGAAGTGCCAAGAGAGTGGCCAAGGTGGTGGTGCCACTAGACAAGGGGTGGCGGTGCGCCCCTTAGGGCAACACCCAACTTGCCCCTCTCGGCCTCTAGCCAGTCACCGCCCTAGGGGTGGTGGTACACCGGACAGGGGGTGACGGTGCCCCTAGAGGCAGCACCTCATCCCCTTCTTCGCCTCCTTTGCTACCTTTGCAAATATGCTAACACTTCAAGTGTTTCACCATCACGTGCAAGTGTGTTAGCATTTTTCACAATCATTTTTCAAAGGTTAATCACTTTCTCACCGATTGTGCACTAGGCCTAAAATGCATATGCATGTTTTTCAACACCTAGTGGCACTAGATGATCGAGTTGTCTGATAAGAGCTCCCCTCTTAATGGTATGACCATCTATCCTAAATGTGATCACACTCTCTATAGTGTCTCGATCACCGAAAACAAAAAGGCCCTATTGATATCACCTTTGTCTTGAGCCCTTTTTGTTTTTCTCTTTCTTCTTTTCCAAGTCCCGGAGCTTGATCAACATCACATGTGTACGCACCGTCACCATGATCTTCATTTCATGTGGCCATTTCCATCCATGAGTGCTACCTAGCTCCTTCACTTGTGTTGGACCAACCTATCTCAATTCCACACTTAGAGCATAGGGTTTCATCAATTTACCAAAACCAAACTAGGGCTTTCACGCGTCCCTCGCCGCGCCGCCAGCATCGAGAAAAAGGGGAGGGGGCAGCACCCACCTGCGCCTCTGGTTCGGATGCCTAGCCGACACCGAGAGAAGGTGAAGACACCTAGGCGAGGCAGTCAAAGGCGAGGAGAGAGCGAGATGCAACACCCGATTTACTTTTGAAACATCCAGATACAGCACTTGCAACATGTCTGAAGGCAGATGAAATACTTGAAACATGCATCCGAAACATTTGTAAAAACACCTGAAAAACACTTGAAAACCATGTAAAAATATGCACAACTTCTAGATAAAACACTTGGAACATATATGTGAAACATATGCAACATCCAAATAAAGACACTTACAACATATGTCTCAAAAAATAGCTGAAACATTGGGAACAAAAGCTTGCAACATACGTGCACAACCATTGCAACATATGCAACATCCCGATCTACTTTTGCAACATGCGTTTTCAGCGTGCAATGTCACCTTGCTGCTTGGACGAATTACATAGCTCGATGCTAGCGCATAGGTCGACGGTGGCGCATGGAGCTCGCCGGTGCACCCCTAGACGAGCACCTGCTCGGCGGCCTAGGTGAGCACCTTCGCGAGGTGCGCGAGTACCCTAGGCGAGCATCTGCGCGAGCACCCCTGGGCGAGCACATGCTCGCGCGGCCTACTTAGGCTAGCACACCCTTGGCGAGCACCTGCTCGACGGCTAAGCGGGCAGCGAAGGCGTCCGCGGCGGCGCGGATGCCGTGGTGTAGGCGAGCGCCGCGGTGGAGCACGGAGTGGGGAAGGTGAGCGGCGTGGTGGAGTCGGGCGCAGAGGTTCGATGGAGCGGTGGATAAGACCACGACGGTGGAGGCCGAGTGCGTAGAGAGATTTTTTTGAAGGGGTGCAGACCGATAAGGTAGCTAGGAAGGCGCGTCCGTCCATCCCCAGACGCCCGCACGAGAGCATTACCGTTTTAATATTTTATTGCGTAGCGC